GCCTGGCAGCAGGCCAATAAATTTCCGACAGAGAACGTGACGCTATCCTTCGCGCCTACCACTACTGCTGGATTGCCTATCACGGACCCTTCAAAGTCTTAGACTCAGACGGAGAAGGCGCCCTGAACAATGATGCCGCTAAGGCCATGATGGCCAGTAAGGGCACGGAACTTCGTATCCGAGCGCCTGGCCAACTCGCGACTTCAATTGAGTCACGAAACGGCATTCTCAGAGGCGTCCTCCACATGATTGAGGAAGAGCTGAATAGACACAACATCCCTGTCGTATTCACTGGAGTATTGGCGGAAGGCATCTTCGTTACCAATGCCTTTACGCTTTACAGCGGAGTATCGCCATACCAAGCACACACAGGACGTCAGCCCTCCTTTCTTCCTGGCCTCGACACCCTTGACTTTCCCAAGGGACCCGAGACATCAGGACACGAACGAGAACGTCGTGTGAGGGAAGTTAGCCTAGAAGCCATAACTCAAGCCACTGCTGTGGCCAAGACAAATCGTGCTCTTAGGGCTAAAACGGCTCCTGATGGTGCTCGCCTTTACTCTGCAGGGGATTTGGTCGACTACCATCGACCCACTGCCACTAAGGACGATCATGGAGGCTGGAATGGCCCATTCCCAGTGATCCGTAATGTGCCTGAAAGAGGACATTGTTGTCAAGGCAGGATCTCGTGAGATAATTGTGATGTTTCCTGATGCTCGTCACACACTATACATTGAATGTCTCCTCGCACGTGAACTTGGCATGGATAATATGGCCATGCAAACCGTCCTTACATATGTGGCACACCTCGGCGCAGGGAAACCTGCCAAAGTTTTTCGGCTATATCCCAGATTACAAGGGAAACCTCAATCTTTCAGACGACAGCAAGTTTCACCCGCGCGTACATCTAGCACTACAGTATCTCGTGCGAAACTCCGAGTAGAACATGTAGTAGCAGTTAGATTGGCCAAAAGTGTGTCAAGCTTACCTGCAGTAAAGTACGCCGCCGGGTCTACGCTGATCCACTATGACAATGATATCAGCCCAGCTTCCCACTACTACGAGTGCGTGGGCACCGGCCTAAACATTTCTCAGATCACTGGTAGCACTCATTCCAGACTTATTCAATGCTTGACTTCACGTGTCCCTTCCTTAGGATTTCACGACGACCTGGCTAAATATCAGCACTCAAGCAACACGTCTGGAGAACACGATTCGCCTGGAAACAGGCCTCTTCCAGATACCCCAGGTGCTTCATCGCCGAGTGAAGGCCCTCTGTCTACAATCTATGAGGAAAATGAGGAACATAATATCGAAGCTATGATGCTGGAAGAGTGGTACGACGAACTACGTATGGATCTTCATCCTACGACGACTACCGACGATTATCTCTACTGCGTCCCAACAACCATGCTGCCCGACCAATGTGTTTTGGTTTCAGCATCTGTGGACCAAGAAGATATCATATCATGGGACACGCTCGGAGACGAGCCTGGACCACGAGAGTCTTGTCTAGTCTCTCTCTGCTCAACCACACCTGACGAGAGCTACTCTCTTGACAGTGATGAATATGGTCCTTACGTTGAGTTATGTTTTACATCAGAAATGTCAAAAGTAGTGTTGAATCAGACTCAACTTGCACAGCTCGACGCTGATATGGTCGCAACGATGAGAGTATATGTATCCTCTGCTGCTAAACGTGCTGTAGTCGCTAAAGAAGATGACCTACTCACCAAAGCCGACATAGCAGCACATCCAAAGGGGGTTAGTGAAGCTTTGTATACTGAACTCAAAATCTGGCTTGACAGCCGATGCTTTGAGATGTATGATTTATCCAAAGCTTCCAACATCAGGTGGGTACCGATAGCGTTAAAACCATTCGTCTCAGACTTGTCCTTCGTGGATTTATGGATACTGAGGCTTTCGACGTGGAAACATTCTCGGGAACCGCCCGAAGGCAGTCCCAACGACTCCTGGCAAGTGAGGCGGCATGCCATCCAGAGTGGATTTTCGCATCCATGGGTATCGACAAGGCGTTCCTCAAGGGTTTGACCTATGAGGAACTTGCCCATGCCATCGGCGAGGAAACTCGCATGGTCTGCTTCACTCTTCCACCGGGAAGTGCCCAGGTACTTCGTACACTACTCGGCTTCTCATCTTATGACGAAAGCCGACACTGCCTCAGGTGCCTCAAACCAGGAACGGGTACAAAGGACGCTCCAAGAGCGTTCTCGTTCAAACTTCGTACGACCACACGAGCTATAGGCCTTGCACCGACCAGTTATGACCCTGAATTTGAATTCAGCCAAGATCTGCTAACGGCAAAACATGTCGATGATGTTAACATGACAGGCCTAGAGAAAATATAGACGACTATGTACAGCGTGTCGAAAAGGTGTTTGGCAAATGCAAGCTCAACAAACACTCATATACGAACTGCGCCGTTCGCTGCACTAAGAATGATCAAGGGGATGTGATCATGGATCAGGACGAGTATATCAAACAACAACGTCTTATCACACACCCAGAACTTACAGGATCGGCGGCCGATGCCAAAGCCACGAAACTCATTACCGACATGTTCGTCAGCTTGCGAGGAGCCCTCGCCTATGCCCTTCTTATTCAAATCTGGCTCATGGTATACGTGGTCTCTCTCCATAAAATCCAAGAGCCCACCAATCTGCAAGTCAGACGTCTGAATGCTGCGACGCGAAAGCTGATCAGCAGCCCGAAACGCATCACCTTCCCTCGGATGAAGCCTACGAGTGAAGTTGACATCCACAGCGATTCGGGGCATCGGAAGCTCACCGGGGAGGAGGAGGATGATACCATGGGCTACGGCATACGCGGGGCTAATGTACTACGGCGAGGAAACTCGCCTCAAGGCAAGTCCGTCGTTCACCTCTGTGACGGACTGTGCAAATCACACCGACTGCAGGTGAGGTCCAGCTATGCTGCGGAGGCACTCGCAGCTGCGCATAACCTTGATGAGTGTTACCCTACGCTCATCACACTCCACGAGCTCAAGGCAGGAGCTCTGACTCCACGACAACTACGAGATATGCGTGAAGTTGGAGGCCTAGCCATCAAAGTATCTCTTACCATAGACGCTGAGTCCGGTTATAAATCATGATCAAGCAAGGATCGTAAGATACCGGCAGAGCGGACTCTGCTTGGACATATCAGTTGGATGCGTGAACTCATGGATATAGGTATAGTACATAACGTGCAGTGGTGTGATACTAGGGATATGACCGCAGACGGGCATACAAAGGGAAGCATCGATCGGGAGCTGCTTCTGGAAGCAATGTCAGGCACTCAGTCATTCAAGTATGACGTGAAGCAGTTTGTTCCCTTTCGGGGTCCCGAGGACAGAAACAAACCTAAGTCTAATCAATTTTAGTCTGTCCGTGTTGCCCCCCCGCGGTCTAATTTGCCAGCATGGGCGCCTACTACAGAGGCGCCCTTCTAGTTGCTCGGAAACGAGCCTTACATTTCACGCCTGGCAACGAGCCGGCTTTATTTGACTCAGGCTCTTTGCCTTAATACCCTTTTGCTCGGTGAGGTATGGCCCGTTTTGCTTGCCTCTCACTGAGCCGATATCCCTTTCATCGTTCGAAAGGGGCTATCTTGTATTTGCGCGAAATGCCTTGCGAGGAAATTCGCCTTACAGTCTGGTGTTAGGCCAGACTGTACACACTGTTTTCTTTCTTGCAAACAGTTGTGCGCACAGCCTTTGCAGAGCCTAACGGCTGCGCAGCTATGCTCTCCGTCTCCTCCCCTCCAGACGTTAAGGGTAGCTCTTTGGGAGATGTTATAGTATCGGGAGCATAGCTCGCGCGCCGTTGCCTCGGGCTCAAGGCACGCGCGCCCTATTTGCCCGGACACCGCGAGTGTTCGCTATGTGCTGGAAAGATCACTACATCGATCTTATCCTATCTTATCCGTCCATTCCTCTTACTGAACCACGTCAGTACGATACCGGACGTTATTTGCCATCCGATGTCTACGGAATCGGATGCTATTTGAGTTACCGGGCTCAATTTCGACTTCCTCCCCCCCTCCCCCATCTTCCTCCTCATACTCCTTGATGCAGCTCTAGTAGACTAGAAGGAAGTGTTCAGGCCGATGGCGTCACAGGAGCAAGACGATTACATACTGTATGTGAGCCAACGTGGAGCCCAACACTGAAACAATTGCAATGTGGAGGTGGGAGCTATGCGGTGTAAGGAATGTGCTGTAGGCTACGTTGTTCAAGGCATGTGGTACGGACCCCTCAAGCGCGGTGGGCCGGAACGAGGCGCAGTCGGCGGCCCTTTGGCAAAACCTCGGCGGACCTCCCAAGCGCAATGGACGGCAGCGGGGCGGCAACGGGCGGCGACGTGGCGAAGCCTCCGCGGACCCCACAAAGCGCGATGGGCGGCAGCGGGGCAGAACCCGATGGCAACGTGGCGAAACCTCGGCGGACCCCACGATCGCGGGGGGCGGCAACGAGTGGCAACGAGTGGCGACACCTCGGCGGACCCATCCGGTTCTTCGATCAGCGAAGGCGTATCCCCAAAGTGCGAGCACTGTTTGGGGCATGCTGACGGCACTCTGCCGCGTGTGAGCGGGGGAGCGGGGCGACGACGACGACAGCGGACTCCCGTCGTCCTCCGCCTCCAGGGGGGGCAGGCAGATTCCCCAGGAGCGTCCAACAGCCTCGATGCTCCCCCCGGCTCCCCGAACCCTGATGTCCTGAACTCCCCTCGACGACGCGGGCGAGGAAGGCGGCGCTCGTAGCGGCGCCGACGACTGCGGAAGCGGCAGCGGCGAACGAGGAACGACGATCGACCGTCCACGAGCGGTTGTTCTTTTTGTTTTTCGTGCAACGACAACCCGCGGCCGTTGACCAACGATTGGGCCACGACGAGAGACGACCGCGGCGACGACAGCGACGACGCCGAGGGCGACGGCGGCACCCTCCGGCGGCGGCGGCGGCGCCGCCGACCCCCGCGGAGGACGCCGTGGCCGCCCGCGGGCTCGAGCTCGCTGCCGCCCGCGCGGAGAACGCCGAGCTCCACAGGAGGTCCGCCCTCCCTCCGTCGCCGTCGTTCTCCGTCATTCGGGAGGGAAGAAGACACACAGACACAATTCATCGTCCATACCCCAGAAGATATGGGAAAATATAGGAAGTGGGGGGGGAGACAGAAACCCAGAAATATAGCAAAAGATTGGTGATCCTGTTGATTTATTGTGTGTCCCATGGCCCCTTCAGTCATCGTTCTTCGTCTAGTAGTTGTTCGTCGTCTGTCCTTGGCGTTCCTCGTCGGTCGTCGTGCGTCGGTCTCCGTCGTCGGTCTTTGGTCGTCGTCCGTCGTCATCGTCGTTCTTCGTCTGTCGTCGGCATCGTCGGTCGTCGTCGTGGGCCGTTGTCGTCGGTCATCGCTCGTTGTCGTCTGTCGTCGTCGCCGTCGGTCGTCGTGATCGGTCGCCGGTGTCCACGTCTGTCGTCGTCGGCGTCTTCGTCGTTCGTCCATCGTCCTAGGCACTCTTCGTCGTCAGCGTCGTCGTCGCAGGTCCCTTGTCGTCGTAGTCGTCGTCGTGTCGTCATCGTCGTCGTCGTCGTCGTTGCAGAGCTCCTACGCGGGGGCTGGTGGGACGGCGGGGGAAGGGCGGTATGTGTAAAAGTGGGTTCCCCGACTTTCGACCTTAGGTTTGGTAAAACTCGAATGCTTAATTTTCAGTCGGGCATGCCCCTCTACCAGGAGGCATATTCAAACATAATCGAAACATGTCTCTGGACGATTTGTTGGTATTTTTGACACATCCGCCTGTAGGGGGACATGCCCGACCTAAGCTCAACTCCAGGTGTCGTGTCACCAGCAGCAGCAGCAGCAGCAGCGCAGCAGCCAAGAGATAGACAGTCAAGGAGTTGTCTTATCAAGATAATCAAGAAGGCCGCTCGCACATCGAGGCCATGGTCTGACACGTGAGCGCCCGCGCCTGCCCGAACGCCTCCGAGCTTTGAGCCCTGAACACCTCCGACCTCCGCGGGTCGGCCGGCGCGGACGTTCTGCTCCTCCGTCGGGCGTGCTGCAGTTGTCGCCATTCAGGGGCATCGGCAGGGGGGAGCAGGCATAGGGGGGATGCATCGACCCCCAGTCGCCCATTGATTGCCGATAGGGGCCAGACAGCCCCAGCTTGCCCGGGAACATGCGGATGCACTATCGGGGGCCCAGCGCCGATCTGTCGGCGACGTATCGCGAATGCTAGGTCGATGCTTCCCCCACCTGTGCCAATCCCCCCCCCTGTCGTTGCACCTCGGCCATGAAGCGGGCGAGCGGACGTAGACAGGGATTGGGGTAAGATGAGCCGATTAGTGATTGGGCCCTGATTCGGAGGGCACCAACTATACACCAACACCGATCCTGGCCCAGGATCACCCGGGGCCCAGGATCGGTGTATATGCCTTTTTGCGCAAGGCAGGAGGGCGTATACACCGATCCTGGGCCCAGGGTGATCCTGGGCCAGGATCGGTGTTGGTGTATAGTTGGTGCCTTCCTACTGATGCCCAACATATGGAACGGAATCAAGCAACCGTGTCTGCCATACGGGCGGCGGCGGTTCCAGTTATTGGCACGGAGCGGGAGGGGCGCCCCCCCCAGTTCTGGGCCTCCCGGGTGGGGTCGGAGTAGATATGGGGTCGGAGGATCGCGCTGCATCGCCGATGTATCGCCGATGCGGCTCGATGTAGGGCCCGATTTGCTTCGCGTCGACGGCGCCGATGCATCGCCCACGTCGACGATGCATCGCTGGTGCATCACCGATGCATCGTCAATGCATCGCCGATGCATCGCCGATGCATCGGCGATGCGGCGAGATGCTCCGACCCCATCTACTCGGACCCCATCTAAGAGGCCTCTACCAGTACACATCATTTTCCCAGGTCTCACTTGACCCAGTGCTGCCAACGGCCAGAAGGAAACGGGTAAGGATGGAAACAGGACTGAGGAAGTGGCGGCTTGGGGCTCTCGTAGCCTTCCTCGGGATTCGAGGCCACCAAAAAAGCGATGCAGGATGAAGCGCTGATTCTGGGGACAGGCCCCGGTGTCCATGACCCGTCTCCCTTACAGTGGAGACCCATGCCAAGAAACACCCTGCTTGCCTCCAGGGTGCCCTGGGTTTCTTGAGTTTCGATGTTTTTTTGCGATGGAAGGCGTGACGTTCCCACACCAAACATCAAAGCACGGCATGGGGTCTCTAGGTTGTGTTTCTTGCCAGAGGTTTCTTGTGGTCGGCCCCTTACTGTAGGACTCATTTCTTTCTTGCCAGCCCTCATCATCTGGGAGGCGACACAAGAGGTGATGATCGGGCGGTGCACGAAAGGGGGGGCCCCAACCAGGGCCTCGACAGCGCACGAGAAGTGCACCAGTCGTTCGCACTATCCCACTGCTCCTCCTCATCCTCTCCTCCTACTCCTCCCCCTCCTCCTCCTCCTGTTCCTCCTCCTGTTCCTCCTCCTCGTCCTCCTCCTCCCCGTCCTCTACTCCTCCTATTCTTCCTCCGCCTCCCTATCCCCCTCCCCCCCCCCTTCCCCTCTTCCTCCTCCCCTTCCTTCTCCTCCTCCTCCTCCTCCGCCTCCTCCTCCTCCTCCTCCCCCTCCTCCTCCCCCTCCTCCTCCTCTTCCTTTTGATTACCCCGCCCACCTCACTTGGCAACGCCCGATTCGGTTCCTCGTTCTCCCCAAATTTACTCTGACGGAGTATCCCCACATGCGAACGTTCTTAGTAAGCAGGAGAGTTGTCATCATCAGAGTGGGGGGCCGAAAGGTCATTCATTGTCCCTGGGTGCGTGGCTGAAGTGGTGTTCCGCAGTGCGTCCCACCTGCGCCCCGCCCCACGACCCACCCGCGACCCGCCTCGCGAGCCACCCGCGGCACGCCCAGCGAGCCACCCGCGACGCACCCGCGACCGGTCCCGCGGCCCAACTGCGACCTGCCCCGCGACCCACTAAAACGACGCGACGATCGGGGCAAAATCGGATCGGGATAACTCGAAATCTCTGAGAATCGGCGGGTTTGGAGGATGTATTGGGCGCCGCGGCCGCTCCAGAGCGATTTATCCAGATCCTAGCCCTGTTTGACCCCCCCGCCCGCGACACACGTGACGATCCACCCTCGATCCATCCACGCAGCTTTGACGGGAAGATCGGCGCCTGCGGCGGGTGCTCGGTGTGCAGTGTGCAACAGAAAGTCGCGCCGACGACACCGCCCGCCGCCCCGTCACTCTTTGTCCTGGCCCTCCTGCGTTGGGCACTCGTTTTGAGTAGAGCGCTGCGGTCGCGACCTCCCTTCCCGCCCCCTCCTCTTCCCTCTCCCCTGCTGCCTTTCACCTCGCTCCTTCCTGCCAGCCAACTTGCCGCCTACCTGGTCATCCCTGGGGGGCTGCGATCTGCGAAACCGTCGCCACTTTCGATGGTTGCTGGGGGGGTCCAGCGGAGTGACGTCTTACACGGATCACCAGGAGACCTCGCCATCCCTGGGGGGTTGCGATTTGCAAAATTGTTGCCATTTTCGAGGCCGCCTGGGGCGTCCAGCGGAGTGAGGCACCACGCACACTCATATTAGACCTCGCCATCCGTGGGGGGCTGCGATTCGCGAAAATGTTGTCACTTTCGTTGGCTGCTGGGGGGTCAGCGGAGTGAGGCACTACCTTGACTCACCTCGCCATCCCTGGGGGGCTGCGATCTGCGAAACTGTCGCCACTTTCGAGGGCTGCTGGGGGGTCAATCAGGGCATTGTCGCGGGCCGCCCGCAGACCTTGCGGCGCGCCTGCGAGCGTTGAGCTCCCTCACTGAAAAGTGCAGGAAGGAAGCAGGGAAGCTGGCGGGCGAGCTAGGCCTCACGCGCTTCTTGCACTAAATATAAGCAGGTTCGATCATTTTGTCGAGCGCCGCGTCAACATGGCGCAGGCATCGCTGCATCTTCCGCGCACTGCCGACAGAAGCAATATTCTTCGGTCTCCTCTGCCCTGTTCCACCTTCCCTCTGCTGCTGCCGCGCTAACGGTTCGGCCCCCCGCGCGTCTTTCTCCTGCCATCCGTTCCCGCCCTCATGTCCTCTTCAAGTTTTGGCCCTCGCTCCTCGTCCATCTGTTGTTGTCCTGTAAATCGTGCCACGTGAGCACATCCCATGTGGATTCCACAACGTATAACGGCACCTACGTTGTCCTTCCATTGGCAAGTATGGTGCCAAGGGGTTGGGTACGTCACAGGATAATTATCCGCAAGTGCGCGGTGCTACGTCGTCGACAAGCGATGGCGATAATGCTAGGATACCAGGATGCGACGTGTGAGGCCCTTGAGCCTGTGGAACCTGTGAGACCTGCGGGATTTCAGGGGAATTGTGGGACCAGTTGAGCCCTTGGAACTTGTGGGACCTGTGGGCCCTGAGGGACCTGTGGGACCAGTGGGGGGCGTGGGACCTATTCGGCCTGTGGGGTTTGTTGGACGCGTGGGACTTGCGAGCCCTGTAGGACGTGTGGGACCTGCGGGGCCTGTTGCACCTGTGGGACCGGTGGGGCCTGTGAGATTTGTGGGACCTGTGGACCTCGTCATCAAGACTTGTGCGACCTTGTGGGGTCTTTGATACCGGTGGCCCTCTGGGACTTGTGAGACCTGTGCGACCTGTGGGAGCCGTGGGGCTTGTGGGTCCTGCGTAACCTTTGTAACCTGTGCAACCAGCTCGCTCGGCTTGTGGGACTTTCGAACCTGTGAACCTTTTTTTTGGCTTGTGGGATCTGTGTACCCTGTGTGCGGCCCGAACTCGTGGTCCATTCGAAACCCCACGGAGTTGGGAATAGGGGTCGACATATCCCCTGTTATCTACGTAGGGTGGCGCACCCGCGGGACACACGGCTTCCAGGCCTGCTTTCCGCGGCGGCCGCGCCCGCGCGCGCAAGCCCCGGGCGCGCAGGGCCCGCGGCGTGGCGGAGAGGGTGGCCTCCGAAGAGCAGGCTCCTCCTGCACCTGCGCGCACTCCTCGCGCGTCCTCCCCCTCCTCGGCCTCCACCAGCTCGGCATCGCTCGGACGTTGTGCATGGTTGTCCCGGCGAGGGCCATCGAGGAGCACCTTGGACTATCGAGCGAACAAACACGCACGAGACCGACAAATGCACGGGGGATGCCCGAGCGACGGCAAGTTTTCCGTCCTCCCCTTCTCGGCTTTCACCAGGCAATCCCCGCTTTTGCTGGCCGCTTGCACTGGCCCTGTACACTGGGCCATCAGCAGGGCCCGTGCCACGGCCTGGAGAAATCTTGTGGCCCTCTGCCCCACGCGAACGGGAGTTCGCCTCGCAGGCTTTCGGTTCAGAGGAGGAAGGACAGGTGATGATACCGCTACCCTTGCCTCGTTTTCCACTCTCTGGGGGCTTCTGGGAGGCCCTCGCCGCGACGGGCTGGACTCGCCCTGAAATTCGAGTCCGAACGCACCCTGGGAGAGGTCCGGGGAGCAGCGGCCTCGGTACCTTTTGGTTTCCCCCATTTGTGTTCGCTGGAAGACGCCCGTCCTGCCCCTCCTCCTGCTCCTCTGCGCGCCTCTGTCCTCCTCCTCGTCCTCCTCCTCCTCCTCCTCCTCCTCGTCCTCCTCCTCCTCCTCCACATCCTCCTCCTCCTCCTCCTTTTCCTCCTTTTCCTCCTCCTCCTCCTCCTCCACTTCCTCCTCCTCCTCTTCCTCCTCCCCCCCCCTCCCCAGACATGCTCGAGCCGCGACGCAATCACGACGGGGGTGGGGGGGGGGGGGGGGAACACTTCCACTTTTTCCTTATCCGTGTGACCGCCCTCTCGTTTCCCACCTGTCCCTGCGCTTCGCACCCCCGACGCGGCCCGCCGGAAGCGACACCCGCGCCTGCGAACGCCGACGCCGGCACTGCCGACTTAGTGACTGCTGTCTGGCAGTCTTCGGCCTCGGGTGGCCCTCGCCGGAACCGGGACCGCCATCAAAACTGTTCGGGGTGAGCAACCGTCCCTGGGGAACGGGTCGAGACTTCTTCGACCCCGCATCGAAGCTGAGAAGACATAGCATGCCCGGGTCCTCCCATCCTCCCCTGTCATCCTCCCAGGGCCCATGTCGACCCAACCGGTCCGCCTCGGCATCGATTTTGGACGGGCCCGATCGGCCCAGCTTCTGGGTATTCTGACGGTCCAGAGCGGCCCGATGTTGCATGGCGTGCGCCCCGGTGCGACCGATGTGATGCCGATTCCGTGCCGATGTGTCCCGATCCGACGCACATTGATTGGATTCGATGCGGTTCCCTAGTCGATGTTTGTTGATCCTGCCACCTCCCCCAAGGGTCCTCCAAGGGTGCCCACGGTTCGGTGAGTCTGGCTGCGTTGCAGTCGGTTGTGTTCGGTCGGTTCGGTTCGGTTGGTCGCAGGGTCGTTGCCGCGTCGCTGCGCCCCTCTCATTCGGTTGCCTGCGGCCTGTTGGTGTCGGTCCGTTTGAGCTTCGCTGCATGTCTGGTCGGTCTTCGGTTGTGCTATCGTCGAGGACGGCCTTGTCCCCGCTTCTCCGATTCCCCGTGGCCTTCGTGCTCCTCGTTCTCCCCCTGCTTTTCCTGGTGCTTGTCTTCCTCTTTTTGCTCCTGGTATTCATCATATTTCTCGTGGTCCTCGATTTCCGCTTGCCCACCTGCCCAATTTATTGTTCCTCTTCCTCCTGTGCCTCCTCCATCTCCTGCTTATTTACCCGTCTTCCGATCCGTCATTCTTCGTCGTCGGACTAGCAAATTTGCCTGTCGGATGGTTCAGGCGTTTCGCTCGATATTTCCTCACTGGCTCATGTTAGCACTGCTGACGAAAATGAACATCTTCACGGATGGCTGGGGATGGGTTTTGGAATGCATCATGTTTGAAGCGTCACCGGCACGGTATTCGAACCATCATAATGTGACAATGACACCACTATTGGAGGGGTTGTTTTTGTAGTCGCATCGGTTACCACATGTTCGTATATTCAGGCGCCAGAGCTCATCTGCCCCTGGCTTGCGCGCGTGGGTATGGTCGTC